TTTTTGTAATTTTTAAATTTCTGCTTTTTCGTTTTTCTGCACCCCCACCCCCACCCCAACTGCCCTCCAAACCCCGCACAAAAAAATGTGTTTTTATTTTTTTTTATTTTTTTACTTTTTAAAATAAATTTTAAATTTTTATTTTTTCGTTTTTCTTCACCACCCTCCACCCCTCACACCACCCACTGCCCCCCACCCACACAAAAAAAAGTTTTTTTTTTTTTTTGTAGTTTCAAATTTCTATTTTTTATTTTTTCTGCACCCCCCCGATTTATATTTATATATATATATATATATATATATATTTATATTTATTTTTAGTTTTTTCATCTTTCGGTTTACAGGTTCGAAATTTTACAAGTTCCAAAGTTATGAGTTCGGAGGTTTATATGTTTGGAAGTTTACGTGTTTAGAAATTATAAAGTTTACAGGTTCAAAAGTTCGCGGTTTCGAAAATTTAGCGGTTCGGAAGTTTATGAAATTTATGGGTTCGGAAGGTTGTTGGTTCGAAAGTTTATGGCTTCATGTTTGTTGTATCTAAATTATTTATGAATACTCTTGAGAAGTTATTTTCCTTAATTTGCGTACCAAACACCGAAAAATGAATAAGATTAGCTTAATTTACGTACCAAAGACACCCTTAAATATATGAGTAAAAGATTATCAAAATCTCAATAAACATCACTCCCTCCGTTTCAAATTAGATGAGGTACTTTCCTTTTTAGTCTGTTCCAAAATAAGTGACACCATTTTTAAATTGAAAATAATTCAACTTTAAACTCTTCATTTTATCCTTATAAGAAGCTTTTAGAACCACAAAAATGTCATGGCTCCACAAAGCTTTTAAGACCACAAGTTTCAAAAGTTTCTTTTTTTTTCTCTTAAACTCTGTACCGAGTCAAACTACCTCATCTAAATTCAAACGGAGGAGTACATTCTAAGCCCGTAATTTTTGATATGCAATGGCTTAGATGGTAAAAATATAAATATTGAACCCATTAAATTAAAAATCTGTGTCCGTCTCTGCCATACCTACCTTAATAAAATGAAAGTTAACCAATAGAAAGCCACTCTTTATTCAAAAGCTTCACGTAATAAGCTTTAGGTCTTTTGGAATTTTATATTCGATAGATGGTCTCATTATTTGACTTTTTTATTCCCTTCAATGACCATTAACATGTCTATAAAATGGATCTCCATTTCTATCAAAAGCCCCTTCCTCCTCTCTTCATCTCTTCCATATATGTTCTGAAACTCTGCTTTAATCATATTTCTCTCTCTCTCTGATCTTTCTCCTCATCCCTAATTCCTCTCATCTTCTGCTTTGAAACTCTGTTACTCTATTTTCAGAAGTTTACGTTATTCTCTTCCTATAATTTCACTTATTTTAATGCATAGCTATAGAGCCTTGGTTCTTGATGTTTGGGACTCATGTCTCCAGTAATTAGCGAAGTCCTTCTTTCTGGTTTTACCATTAATTCAACCCTTCGTCGTGGAACTCACTTAGTTCAATCCTTCTCTGTTGCCTTCCTCTACTGGTTCTACGTGTTCTCATGAATATACCTTCCGTTTTAGTTTCTTCTCGCTAACTTAATATTAAGCTCCAGCAAATATCTATAACCTTTATTCTAATTTAGCTATTATTACTGATATACTTATTCATACTTTATTCAGTTATAACGTGTTACAATACACAATTATTATGGCTTCTTCTCCTAGTGGAACATCTTCAGGGTCAGAGGATATTCAGCAACTAATGGACCAAAGAAAACGCAAAAGAATGATATCAAACAGGGAATCAGCAAGAAGATCAAGAATGAAGAAGCAAAAGCATTTGAGTGATCTAATGGTTCAAGTGAATCAACTCAAGGATCAGAATGATAAAATTGTTACTAACATAAATATGTTGACTCAGGTTTATTTGAACGTGGAAGCAGAGAACTCTGTTCTTAGAGCACAAATGGCAGAATTAAGCCACAGGCTTCAGTCCCTAAACGAGATCATTAACTGCTTAAACTCTGCAGCAACAATAATTGACGACACAGAGGTTAATGGTGAAGATGATTTCTTGAATCCTTGGAATTTGCTACATGTGAATCAGCCAATCATGGCTTCTGCTGATGTCTTCATGTACTGATCGATCTATATTATTTGGTCATTGAAAAATCAATTAGAGAAAAAAAAAGATATTGTTGTTTGTAGATTCTTGGCTTGGCTCTAGATGGAGGTGTTTGGTTAGGTTCACTAATAAATAATTGGATTTTAAAGAGAAGAGAAGTACTTATTAAATGAGGGTTGATAAAATAGTTGTTGGCACCTTCTTGGTTTGTGAATGGGTTATTGCTACAATATTAGTATATTAAGTTGCTTGTCTCTTTTGTTATTTTATTAAATATAAAGATAATCCCATTAATCTTGTGTGTAACACACTGCTATTCTCTTTGTTTATAGTTAATCTCTCTTTATTCCTTTAATTAAATTACTTTTGATCGGAACCAGCTATATAGCTAGGAAATTCCTCTAGTTATATTTTTAGGGAAAATGACACTATGTTGCTCTCAAAATAATAGCCGAAAAAAGGTATATTTTTTTGTATATATATAAATTCTGTATGTTATATACAAAAATTATACAAACTTTATACACTTTTTCAGCTACAAAATATAAATAGTTTCTGGAGTGGGCTAAAGGTTAAAAGTAAATACATATTCTTAGCGGGTGCTTTAAGATCAATTTTAGTTCTACTTTATTGCAAGTAGTGATATAAGTTTATACAATATCTATCACTTGGGTAATTTTTGCTGAAGTGATCATTAAACTTTAATAAATGGAGAATATTATAGTGGAAGTTTCTAGTGGAGGTTCTTTGTCATTTACTTGATCTAAGGGTTCAAGGCTTCTCGGACGTGCTGGAAAAGAAAATATCTATAAATGGAAATTATATCAAGCTTGAATTATTGGCAAAATAATATCTTAATATGATTAATATAATAAATACAACAAACTAAACCTAACTATGACTAATAATTGTTTAGAAGATTATTTAAGTCGTTATCACTAGCATCATCATGGAACTCCACGGCTATGGTTTTTTTTCTCGCCTTCTCTATGATGGGATACATAAACTGTGTTCATGAAATTTGCAAATTCTTGAGCAGATTATTTCCTATCCATTTGACATAATTTAGATTAGAGTTTAATTTACATTCACGGTAAGAGTTTCATTTACCTGCACTAACATGATAAGACATCTTTCACAATATTTCATAAGTTGATCCCATCCACCATTTAAATATTTAAATTACATTGAATTTATTAAAAGGATCTTGCATATGTTATGGTGTAATTGTGATTGAGATGAGAAGAGAATGCATATATATATATATATATATATATATATATATATATATATATATATATATATATATATATATATATATATATATATATATATATATAAACAAAGAACATTTTTAACCACTTCAACTACGTTTTGAAAAAGAAAAAAAAAATTAATGGACAAAAAGTCAAAATTGACTATACCATGTATAGCTTATATAACAGGTATCTCAAAATTAAATAATTATATTCATCCATCTTATTAATATATTTTAAAAATTTATCTTAAACATGTTTATATTTCAAAATAAAATGACTTGAAAATACCTATTCAAGAAATTGTTGTGTCTGTTGTAACAAAGATATGAGGTATTATTGTATGGGTCAAAATCTTATCAAATGAATCTTGTTAAGAAAGGATAACTAAGGCTGATTAGGCCGAGGTCATGCTTAAGAAGTAACATATTGGCGAGCCGAGTAACTAGGGTCGAGGTCGAGTACTCAGATCAGCCCAAACGGCTAGTTTAGCAATAAGATATTTTAGAGGAATATTCTACAGAATATTCTCTGCACTTGTACTTTCAGTTAGGTAAGGGATACGTCCCATATAAGTAGGAATAGAGAGAGAGAAGAAAGAGGCATATTATATTCTATATGAGAAGCTCTCTCTTGAAAAGTTGACTCTCAAGTAAAACTACAAACATTGTCGTTACAAAATATTCGACTTGTTGTTGATCCCAAGATTTCTCACATTAGATCCGAGAAAGCTCTCTATATTCACACATTCGTTTGTCTTACATAATTGTCAGAGAGAGAATCATCCACCTCATTGAATATTTGGGTGAATCATTCTCTCTATTTTACATTTACTGCCATTTAATATATTTATTGCTTGTCATTACTCCCTCATACATTCATAACAATACCATTAAACACCCCCTTGGTATTAAATATCCTTGTATGCAATTTTACAATATTGATGTCTATTAATTTTAGATCAAGGATTAAATGTAGGATTTACTCATTATCATCTTATTTAATTACTTTAACAAAATGACTTAACACTTTTTGGTCAAACAATTTGTCTGTGGGATTTTCTAGTTAAAAGTTTAGTTTCTTCTAGATCTAAAAAAACGCACAAAACTTTGCAAAATCCCGTATTTCCTTGTTTGCACAAATCTGACATGGCAGGCAACAGAGAGGAAAAGAAAAAGGCGATAGCCGACCTCACCGCCAATCTCCTCGACACCGTTAATGAAGTGGAGAAAGCGGAGTGCAAAGACATAACACCAAACACCTCTCCCAGGCGAAACAGCTCGCCTCCGCCTCTCGGTAGCGTCACGACTTCGCACGGTAAGGGCACCTTTACATCCACGATAGAAGAGGCACCATCAGCAGTGAAAAAGTTACTTGAGGCATGGTTGACAAATACGCTAACCGGCTTCCTCGATAAGCCCGCTCGGAGGTCGAGTAGGGAAGAGACAAGGGCTGGTGTGAACAGCACGCCCCTCCCCCCGCAACAGGTATTACTCACCATGTTAGTGATGCAGGTAACGACACCCTCGCAGCCATTTTGAGGAAAATGGAGGAGATGGAGAACGAGAACAAAATGCTCCGTAGCCAGATGAAAGAGCACCAAGAAAGGGTAGACAAAATACCGGGCGCCCCAAAACTTCTACCAAAAAGAGACGCCGGTCGGTTTGTTGAGCAACCACATACTGACGAGGCTGCACCGCACGCCATACCAAAGACCTTCAAAATGCACCGTACTTAAAAATATACGACGGTAAGACGGACCCGGAGGATCATGTGATGTCACTGCAGTAAAAGGCAATGACCTCGCAAAGGAACAAGTGTTGTCGATATTGCTGATAAAGTTTCGAGAAACCCTAACCGGGGGAGCATTGACTTGGTACTCACAGTTACATGTGTGTTCCATATAAACGTTCGAAGAAATGGCGGACAAGTTTGTCACCACCCATGCTGGGGCTAAAAAAGCAGAGGCAAGGGTGAACGGCATATTCGCCATTAAGCAATCGCCTGGCGAAGGACTGAAGGACTTCCTCGCCCGGTTCAACCGCGTAAGAATGACCCTTCCAAATATATCTAAGGGGATGGCGGTAGCCTCTTTCTAGAGTAGGCTAAGCAGAAGTGGATCGAGGGTGACCAAAAAGTTGCTAAACCGACTCATAAAATATCCTCCAACCACTTGGGACGAGATACACAATGCCTATTGTGCCGAGGTAAGAGCCGACGAGGACGATCTCAACGGACCTACCCAATGTTTGACCTCGCTCCAAATGACGTCTAGGAAAGACCGGAGAAACGACAACATGAGAGATCTAGCGGGATCCCGACCTAATAGCCTTACATTAGAGGCACCCTCATGCAACCTCCACGCCACGATGAAGGTCCATCCAGGCCGTGAACGGGAATCCACCGAAATGAGAGAGGTATGCCCCCTTTATTATCTGCTCACAATTTCTATGTTACCCCCTCGGAAATAGTCTACGCATTGGAGAAGCTCGGCCCAAAAGTAAAATGGCCGCAGAAGATGAAATATGACCCGAGCACCAGAAAGTCAAATGCCCTCTCCAAATTCCACCAAGAGCGGGGTCATAAAACAGAGGATTGTATCTCTCTAAGACAGGAGGTCGTGAACATGCTTCACCAAGGGCACTTGAAAGAGCTAATAAGCAATCGTGGGAGGGCCGATTTCGTCCGAGAGGGGGAACAACACCAGGGACCGCCCAAACCACCTTCCCCAGCTCGGACCATTCAAATGATCATCGGAGGAGGTGACGACGCATCAATCACCAACGTGAAGTTCACCACCACCCACAAACTCAAACGGTCCATCACCCACGAACGGTATGACGAACTCGAAGGAAGTGTCATCTTCGATAAGTCAAATACCCACGGTTTGGTCCTTCCTCACTATGACGCTCTAGTCATTACTTTACGTGTCTTTGATACTGATGTAAAATGTATTATGGTCGATGACGGAAGCGGCGCGTGCATCATCTACCCTCGAGTTCTCACCCAAATGAAGCTCGAGGACAAGATAGTGCCACGTTGCATCACGCTAACAAGCTTTAATAATGCAGTTGAGCGGACATCTGGAGAAATCACATTGCCCGTCCTGGCCGGCGGTATCACTTTGGGGACCACGTTCCACATCATGGACCAGGATACGGCATACAACGCCATCATAGGCCGACCCTAGATACACGCCATGAAAGCCGTCCCCTCCAGCTTATACCAAGTCATTAAATTTCCCACCCCCTAGGGAGTATTCTGCATCCGAGGAGAGCAACGCACGGCCCGAGAATGATACCGCATCGCCCAAGACTGCACATACACCCAACAATTAAAAGGAAAGGCCGAGGAGGCATAGCAATTAATGAAGTCGAGGTCAGATGGAAATGAGAGGAAAGACGTCATCAGAGACCCCGAAATCGTAGAAGCCACAGGGTCAATTGTAGAGGACCTTGACCCCGTCCAACTAGACGATGACGACCACAACAAGAAAGCTTTCATCGACTATAAGCTCCAAGATCCAAGTAAATTTCGCCAATTCTTAAAAAGTAACATAAACCTGTTTGCTTTTTTCCCATGTAGACATGCCAGGTATCCCGAAGGAGATAGAAACTCACAAGTTGAACGTCGACCCATTTTACCACCCAGTGAGGCAAATTAGACGAAAGTTCAACTCTATAATAAATGACGCGGTTTGCGAAGAGGTCAAAAAATTGTTAGTGAACGGTTCTATCAAGGAATCAAAGTACCCTCAGTGGGTCGCCAATGTGGTCATGGTGAAAAAGAAGAACGAAAAGTGGCGGATGTGCATAGACTTCACAGATCTGAACAAAGCCTGCCCAAAAGACTCGCTCCCGCTGCCCCATATCGACCAACTCATTGACGCTACAGCCGAGCACGAACTGCTGAGCTTCTTGGACGCCTACTCGGGCTACAACCAAATCCTTATGGAGGAGGAGGACCAGGAAAAAACCACTTTCATCACCCACCAGGGGATATACTGCTACAGGGTGATGCTGCTCGGGTTGAAAAATGCAGGGGCAACATAT